CCCAAGTCACAGTGGCTCAAAATAACAAAGTTTTATTTCTGGTCATGCTGCATGTTCATCACGGAATGCAGAGGGACAGAGCAGCCACGATTGGAAACCTTGCTTGTCACCATAATAGGGAGAAAGAAAGCTCTCGAGGATCTTGCACCAACAACTAATTGCTTCTGCCTGGAATTGACCTTGGAAGTCACATCATTTCTGCTCTAATTTATTGGCCAGAGTTAGTGTCATGGTTCCATCCAGCCTCAAAAGGGTGCCTGGAAGCAGGAGCGTTTGGAAACATCTGGCAGGGAGCACTCAGAGCTACCAGAGTTGACACTTTCCCTAAAATTGACTGATTTTCCTTGTTTCCTGAATAACCACTGCTACCAGTTGCTCTGGTGTTTGGAAAATGAGTTAGCAGCAGCAGGACATGGCGATAACAACTATGGCCTAAACTCCAAACTACGGTCTTTTTCGGAAATCTCTCAGGGACATCTCTGCCCATAAATAAGGATTCCCATGGGTGTGTGTCTGTTTTATTTTACAGATGTAGTTCAGATGACATGGTAAAAACAGCTGTCACGGTGGCCCATGTGCAGTTTTAGGAAAGATTCATAGTATCCTTGATTATATACATATATTTGTCGACGAAAATAGTCCATAACCAATCTATAAATGAACATTTGGGTGAGTTTATTCTGAGCTTAAATCTGAGGATTATAACCTGGGAGAGTCTTTCCACAAAGGAACAGAGCACTCCAAAGAAGTGGGGGTATAAGGGTGGTTATACACCCTCAAACAGGGTGTTTCACATATGATTGAAATGTCCCTCCCACAATAGTCACAAGATTGCCCTGTCTGCACAGCACTTGATGGACATAGCAGGTAGTGGGTCTGCTATCTTGGTGGGTGTAGCAGGAGGCAAGTCTATTGTCTCCAGCTGGGCGGTCACAAGTGAGCGCAGCAATCAGCTTCTAGCCTGAGGAAAGATGCTTAATCCTTAAGGAGATGCCAATGTTGGGAGGGGGAGGGAAGTTGCACCTTTATCTCAAGGGCCTTTTGCTCTTGCCATAGGGAGTCTCTAAAGCAGATATACAGTGCATGCTCAACGGCCTCGGTCAGGGCCTTTTGGAAAGACAAGGTCAGGCCGAATTAGGTGTACACCAAAATGGCTTCCTCATATATTCCAATATATCCTATTACTTGCCATTTTTATTTGACATATTCCACAATTGAAATAAATTGCCTAATCCATACAATAGATCAAATAAGATAACGGATGTGAAAACCATTTGTAAATTCTAAGTGCTAAAATGTAAAGTGCTGTTTAAAAACGAATTATTATTAAGCTAAAGGACCAGTTATCTCAAAGATCCTTACATCCTAAGATCTCATTGTGCTATACATATCTCCTCATTTCTTTTCTGTAGATTTTCATTTGCTGTGAAAACAAACCCCTAAAAATAACAGAGATACAGAAAATTCTTTTAATCTGAATCAGCTATATATTCAAAACAAAAATCGAAAGGCTCAGTTTTTCCAGAAATAAATTGCCCTGGGAATAATGTCACTGAATTAGACATTAAGGAATTTAAAAGTGACCTGCAGATGAAGTCTACACAAGTTTCTTCTACGTACAAATAAAGTCCAGGTGGGAACTACAACAAAATGTTTCCTTTGTAGCATATATTTTAAAAAGCTCAGCCCCCTCAGTATATGCAAATGGGTCCTGTTTTAGGAACATGTGCAAATCCTTAAACTCTTAAAAACAGAATAATTAAGAAATGAATTTCACATTTAAAAAGAATTTTAAAAGCACAGTGTGCTCCGTTAATGCATTTATATCATATAAAGAACATGCTGGTGAGTTAAAAAATATGTTAGTTCCATAAATTGAAATATACATGCAATGCTGTAATTTATACGTTTTCTTTATCTGTGTTTTACAACTTTTTAGTGGATAGCTTCCTCTGTATCTGCTTTACAGGAAACATTCCATCATCCTATAGTTAGTGGACAATAACAGATGCAACTGAATTCTTACCAGTTTAGTTTATCTTGATTCCTATGATGACACGGTTATCTCAAGAACTGGTGATTGTAATCACGTGAAAGTCCTACTGAAATGAAAAATTATATCTGACTCCCAAATTAAAGAGTTTATGTATAAAATAAAGTGTGAATAAATCTCAAATAAAATGTCAAACTTTTACACGTGAATGGTTTTCTCCAAGAACATACAAAAGTCAATAAAACCCTCTTAATTTTCACATTAAAAAGAGTCTTCCTGGAGGATTCAACCCACTGGCGGTCCCGTGCATCTTTTCCAAACCCAGACTTGATTTAACCACAAACTAAATGTTACCAAAACCGAAGTGGATTCCCTCCTGGCCAGTTAAACCAGACTTTCCACCAGAGGTGGTTGTCTCACAAAATAAAGTATATTTACGCCAAATAGGAGACCACGAGGAATCATTTCTGGAGTCACAGTGTCCCCGAAAAAAGGGAAGCAGGGACATTTATTTCAGATGGGGAATGAACATTCAAAAGGGAGAGGTGGGTACTGGCTTGTGCAGGCTCAGTTGGAAAACGTGCTTCCACATACACTGCAGGTTATAGTAATGCAGCCTAAGCTCCTCCAGGAGGAGCGATCGTAACATTAAAAATAAGGCAAAGGTCATACGTGTAGCTGTTGCGGTGAGGCTTGGTCTGGTTCAGGGCGGTTGGCGATTGCATCTCCTCAACATAACAAAAGGAAAAAACAAGTTGGAAAAACATTTAAAGTATCTAAACCCACCCTTGAGTTCCTTGAGGTAACTAGTTGGTGACGTAAATATGGTTCAAAGGCTAATGGATCCACTATCTTTAGAAAAGTCCAGAAAGATATCCAATGGCAATTCCAAAGTGCACTTGATAGTTCTTTGAGGGCCGGATGAGATCAATATTAGAAATTCGTCATTGAACTCAACTCTCTGTCTGCACAGTTTGAGCTTCATAGAGATCCAATCTCAGTGATTTTCTTGAGACATTCTTTAAGGCATTTCCGGGAAAGGCATTCTAGTGACATTTCAAGCAATGGCACATCTTTGTGCCTCCTAAGGTAACCACTTTGACATCTTTTGAATAAACAAGTTCTGATATATATTAACATGCAAACCTAATTCTCACTAATCTATCTTTGAGGAGCAGCCAACATGATCTCTCACGGGAGACCAGCGGCTTAAAACTGGCCTGAGCCATTGAGCCATTGTCAACAACTCCGAGAAAAAGTCGTTTTTCACTCAGATGTCAAGCACGTCTTCTCAGAAGTCAAGGTCTTCATGCTCTCTCCCATTTAATGTCAATTGAGAAGCACCTCTCGCAAATGCAAAATACAGAGGCTTTTGTATCAAGGAAGCAAAACTAGATTTCCCAGTTTATTTTTCATTAATTGTGTGCTTTTAAAATAGATGATGAGGCTTATTCTGAGGAAGATGCTACAGAATTATCTTGTTTACTATCTGAGTCTGAAGAGAAAAAGAATCTCATTTTGCCATACGTTGGGCTTGGTGTGTGACAACCGTGTCCCCCCACGTCATCAGAGAAAGTTTCTAAGAAAAGGTAGATTTGGAACTAATTGTGGAAGGAGGAAAAGAAGGATAAGAAGGTACGAATCTGGTGAATATGAAGTAGGTATAATCCCAGGAAAAGGGAATATTTGTTTAAAAGAAAAAAGAAGAAGGAATGAGGAAACTTTCGCCTGAGCAAGTCACAGGTTGAAATAAGACATGATAAGTAGAAGACCCTTTACGCTTATGGGGAGGTGACTTTAACGTGAGAAATTTAACGTGGAGGGAAATAAATCTTTGGTGCTCTTCGAATCAGGAACAATATCATCAAGATGAAGGATACATCAACTCTATCCGGGCAGGCATATTATTAGCATCATGCTCCAAAGGGGCTAACCAGCCATGTTATACCAGGAAGGTATTTTATAATGAAGGTTTTCATTGACATCCTTTCTTTTGGATAAATAAATAAAATTGGAAGAGGACTATCTAAAATGCTTAAGAGAAGGAGCACCTTTCAAATTACGTGACTGTTTACATATAAGTAGTTTAGATCTTCAAATAACATGTGTTGAATTGAGTAATTGAGTACAATGTGTTAATCATAAATACTTTTACCTATTCCTTTAAGCTGTTCCTTATGGATCTCTACTTAGGAAACTATTGGGATTTTTAGCTTTATGGGAATTACTGCATAAACTTGAAAGAAATGAAATTGTATTTTCATGAAAATAGTCTATAATTTCATAAATTGTATTTTTCTGGATTAATCTCTCTTGAGTTGGTCATGCATGGTGCATACTGTGCCTTCCCCTGCTGTCCAGAGGATAATTCCCCGCCCACAGATTCTCACTGAGGGAGCAGACATATGTGACCAAATTGTACCACTTGACAAAGCCAGGCACAGCTGAATGGACCAATGGTGGGTACCAGACCCAAGAACAGCCGATCCACAGGCTGATTGTAAACTAAGAGGAAAGTCATTGCAAAAGAGCTCCCAATCAGAGAAAAATGATGATCAACTGGACCAACCAGACGCCCTCTCAGGAATCTGAATTATGACATATGGGGAGAGAAACAGTCAGCTGGTAGTAGGTGGATATGTGAACATACCACAAAAGGGAGTCAGTGAGGAAAGTGTCAAAGTGGCTGAGGGGGACTGTGGGGCCAGGGCAGGGGACAAGAAGCTCCTTCCAATGCCTGACAGTATTCCATCTCAAGGAAGCTGACTGAGTGGCCGTACTGGGTTCCTGGAGAGAATTTTGTCTCCCTGCTGCCATATGTAACCTTACAACTCCATTCCTGAAACAGCCTGAATGAGACACTTGCAATCCCCCAGATCTAACTGATACACAGTCCAAAATTTGGAGAAACTGTGTTATAAACTTCAGAGACAATTTGGTGCAAAGAGGTTCTTTACCTTTACTGATTTTAGGAAAAACATTTTGGGAAACAATATTAGCCATCGTATATTGCTTCAATGGGTTTATTAAAATCTGTCAGCTGACTCAACAGAAATATCTCCTGCCTGCAAAACAAAACAAAATTACGTTGTCATCGTCATTTTTGGAATAAAAACTAGGAGCATTAGTGATGCTGGTTTTCTTCCAGGGCAGATGTAAGGGTGCATGGTTTGATGCTCCCTCTTGTGGATGCAAAAAAATCAATAACCAATCTACAGATAGGAAGAGAGAGTGATGTTTGTTGAGCCTAATTGTAAGGGCGAGCCTGGAAGCGCTTTCTTCCCTGGAGCAGAAAGCACTCTGGGAAAGTGCTGCTTACAGCATGATTATGTGCCATTTCGGAACGGAAAACATACATCAAGCATGATAGGAATACAATTTTTTCCCCCCAAATTACAAGGAGATGTTTTGCACATACACAGCAGGTCAACTTGACCTTAGTTCTCTGGGAAGGAAAGCTTATTTTTAAAGAAGTACTAGTATCAATGTCAGAGAGAAGGAGACATCCTCGCTGTCTTTAAAGAGTGCATTCTTTACCTTGAGAGAGTGTTCGAAGCAGATGGACACTGCGTGTTTGGTGGACCATAAGTCAGGCTGCTCTGGGAAAAACAAGTTTTAGGCCAAATCAGATTTAAACCAGAATGGCTTCCCCATATACCCCAATATATGAAAACTTCTTATTTTCATCACTCTCAAATTAGGTTCTTTATGTGGTTTGTTAAAAAGTATGCCGCCTAATTGATAGGTCAGAGTCATAATATTTAAACATTTTCTCTCAATTTTTAATTACCAATGAGGGCAGAAGGTGAAACTCTTTGGTCATTTACGTAGGCACTGGTTTGTGCTAAGAACATTGCTTAGGGCACAGATTTCAAAAAGGAGCAGATCATTTGAGTGTAGCAGAAAAATATCTGAAAACATTGGAACATGGTGTAAAAGATGAGTGCTTGGGGACCTAGATTCTAGTTGGTTGTGCCACTAACAAGCCATATTATCCTTGGCAAGTCCCTTTCCTCATCTGTAAAAGGGAGCTGTGTTCCTCAAATTCTCTCCATTGGGTTATCTCACCCACAAAAACCTAAGCTCCACCAAAGCCACGGTGTCTGCCTTGTCTGACCAGGGCTGCGTCTGAGAACAGTTCTTGGTTGCTTGCCGATGCTCAGGAAATATTCATTGCTATTGAACAAGCCATGCTGTACATTGATCCTTAAAAAGGCTCCCTTCCATGCAGAGAGCCTTAGCTATTTTTCAAAGTGCTTTCATGTAGCAGGAGCTCAACACTCACTGGTCTGAAATATCACATTTTGTTCTCAGGGGGTGCACACCTTACTTGTTAATATAGAGATACAGGCATAGAGAAGCCTCATAGAGTGGAAAGAGGAGTGGCCGACAAGTCGGAAGACCTGGCCCACCATTAACTGCCATGTGGCTTGGGTCAAGTCATTCCATTTCCCCAAGGTCCTGTTTTCTCATCTGTGAGATAAGCAGATTGAATTAGATCCTAAGAATGCTTTTGGTTGCACACCTCTGACTCTGGTCCTGTCATACCTATTACATATAACAAATGGGTGTTAAGGACAGATGAATCCATTGGGAAGGATGTGGGGCTGCATGAAGAATGAAGGCAAGGTCATTAATGCAGAGGCGTCAGTTCATTAGAAACATCAAGACAGGCAGACTCTGCTTTTTATGTGCCCCATCTAAAAATCCTTTATGAGCATCAACTGGGATGGTCCTCCTTTGCTATTATTAGTTCATCAAAGCAGGTCACTGAGCTTAGCCACATCTGCCACCATACCCACTGTCAGGGGGTGCTAACACCCTGGGAGAAAGCCTGCCAGCTTGCAAGTCCAGGAAATGTCCGTATTACTTAAATTGCCCAACTGTGGGGATCCTGATGATTCTGTTATAAATTTTATTGCAAATTCTGGGTCAATCATATATAGGAGCCCTTTATAAAAAATGACAAGAGGATTAATTCAGTAGTAAGTTGCCATCAATCTCTAAAGTTTTTCACCTTAGCACGACCCTAATTTCTTCAGACCAAGGTCTTTTGGCAACATTAATAAGAGGCACCAAATTGTTCTAGCATTGCTAGGGAAGGGAAGCATTCAGTTACATGAATGAAGAAAGAGACACCAGTCAAGGTAGGGTGGCCAGCAAGACTGTAATTACGCTTGAAAGGGAAGTCTTCTGATAAAGGGTCCAGATGGATGGAATGGAGTAGGAGGCAGAGTAGGAAGGATGAGCCGATGCTTGGCTGGCAGTGTACCTCTGTGGGCTCCCCAGTGGCCCATCGGGGCTACTTTAGGATGGTCTTCTGGGTTTTCACTGCTCATACTTCCTGTGGATTTTATAATCCTGCATCTTGCTGGGGGCTTAGCTTAGCCCGTGGGATGAAATACTCTTGTGAGGTATTAACAGTCTGGAAAGGAAGAAATACTATCATTAGCTTTCCGAGTCAACATAGGGGATATACTCTCAAGAACTACGTTTGAAATATTATCCTTTCACCATCATTTAATCCTTTGTTAATAAAAACAAATATTGAGCCTACTCATCTCACAACTTCTTTACCCTCTTCCCTCTTAGCCATTAACAAGAATCTTTTTTCAAGATTCTTGAATAGCTGATCGTGGAAATTGAAAGTAATCCAAGAAATTCTTGGAGGGGATAATAAAGATTTTCTCATTGTGTAAACGCCTTCCAGAGGGTTAATTACAGCAAATGATACAGCTATGTCCTGGTCGGTGTGTCATTCCGGGAAAAAGCAAGGTCTCAGATAACAGACCAGAGGGATTAGCCTGGTTAGAGTTGCTGGGTACAGTTCATTGAACAAACAGTCTGAGCATGACTTTCACTCACGGATTCTGGTTACTTGTGATCCCCCTAATACGAGAATTGTGTCCTAATGCGGTATTTTTGGCTGTCCGGATTGGTGTGTCTTCAAGCCATCACGGCACAAATGCAAGTTACCTCCAATTCTATTCAGCAGTGCTCCCTCTGTGTTTGCCTGAACGGATTAAAATTGGTACACCCATCTGGGCATCCAGATGATGATGACAGTCCTAGCCCAGTTCTCGGGGCAGCTTGGACTGCTGGAGCTGGATGGTGACTCAGAGAGGCAGCCCGTGTGGCTCAGGGGATAGATTTAGACAACTGATACTAAAAACAGATCCAACACTCATGCATATTTACAATCCCCCGTTGTCCCCAAGGCAGAAGTGGTGACCTTCCTCCTCTTTACCCTCACACAAACCCTTCAAACTGCCTTTTCTCTCCAGGGACATTCACCTGCGTCAGAATATATCACTGATGGCAGCGGCAGTAGGGATTGGGAGGGGCTCGAGCAGAGGCAAAAGGCACGACTCGCCTCTATTCTGCTGCCCTGGTATGGCTTAAATCTGGATGCTTAAGCTCCACAGGCCTGTAGGGATGACCCTGCCCTGCCTCTCCTCTCTGAGGTCAGTAGAGGCACTGGAAACGAAGCCTGACAGTTGTCCTAAGAAGGAGTGCTGCTTTGTCCCTCCTTGGTGAATGTAGACGAGCACATTTACCTGCAGCTGAATGGGGGTACCATATGAAGTTAATGCTACATCCTCCTCAGCTCCATCACTGTCTCGGGCTGAAAGCCAAAGGAGGGAAGGGCTGGGTTAGTGTCAGAGATTCACCTGGAAACAGCACATGAGGATTATGAGAAGACTCAATGGCTTGCAAAGAGGACCCTGATGCTTTAGAAAGGAATTCTCCATTGAGGCTGTTTTTTTTTTTTTCTAAAAAAATATGATTTAAAAAAGAGTGTTTTTAAAGCTTATGAAGAAGGTTGTATATGGATAGTACTTGTGTGTTCAGGAGAAGCACATCTGTGTTAAGTAACTGAAGAGACTGAAGATTCACCACCACTTTCTAGAGAAAGACTGCCAGCGCTGGGTCAGTGTCTTTGTTCTCTCCATATGGCATGCGTGACCTTGGGCATCTCACTGTCTTCAACAAATAAATAAACAGCCTTAACTAGATCATCTGTAGAGTCTCTTTAGGCTTGATACCGTGCAAGCTTTGATTCAATTAAAAAAATACTGGTCATAATAAAAAAGATCCCCAATTTTATACTGTCGTTGAATAATCACACACAAGGTTACTTGTTTAACGTCTCTTTCCTCTACAAGACTGTAAGCTCTGTGAAGACAGGAGCTGTGTTTGTCCCTAAGGCCAGGCCCTTGTTTGATGGTCAGGGACACAGCCACGTCACTAGTGTTCACACTTATAGTGTTGGGTACGTGGACGCTGGAGCAGGATGGCTCAGCTCTCTCACTTGTTAGCTGTGTGACCTAGGGCCAAGTTCCTTAACTTGCCGTTGTCTTTGTTTCCTGATGGGAATAAAAGAGGGATCATGATGATCATAATAGTAAATGTATTTCATAGGGTCGTTTTGAAGATTAAATCAATTAATATACAGTACAGAAGGCTCTTGGAATAAGGCATGATATATAGAAAACACTAGTGCTATCCTTCATGTATTACTACTGGTGGTGGCGCTGATGGTGACGTTATAATTGATGCTCTGACAGCCTCCTTTACTCGCATTTTTTTGAGGGGTTGGATCCTGTGAGATATGAAATACTCTTCTTTTCTTCACATCAGAATGAATGGAATTCTTGGTTTAACTTTGCTCCTTGTGGCATGACAAGACTTCATACTCAGCCCTTTGGTAACCAAGGTTCATCCAACATTCTCATCAAACCAGATCATAAATTAGAGAAGCCTAATTCTCCAGCTCTAGTTATTGTTCACGAATTTACCAAAAGGCTGATGTTTCTGTCTCTCTAAAAATCCCACAACCACCTCATGGTATGAAGCCTGAGTTAAGTATGTAAGTCCTTACGCTTACGTGTGGAGGAGGCAAGGACATTACAATCATCGCTTAAAGACAAGGAGCCTGAGCTCCTAGAACTTGGGGAGCTTGTTTGGTCTCCAGGTTGGTTAGAAGCAGAGCTGAGCCTCAAAGCCAGGGCACGTGAGGCCACAGTCTGCCCTCTTCCTGCTGCCCGAAGCTGCCCAATTAGCTCGTGCTCCCTGAATCTTTCTGAATGTCATTGTCCTTGCCTCATCTGTCCTCAGACCAAATGAATCCTGCCCAGACTCACTGTCCTGCTCCTTACTTCGTGCCAGGTCTCTCTCTGTGACCTGTAGCTCTTGAGGGTAAAAAAGAGCGGTTTGTTCCTGTGAAATAACAAACAAAAGTTTCACCACCTGGGATGCGTAAATTGGGCTTCTCCTTGTAAGGTGGGCGCCTTGAAGAAAAAAATGTCGAGAATTGTCCAAAAGGGCTATGTTCAGCAAAAGCTGGTATTTGCTATAAGGAGAACAACCTGAAGGGTGCATGTTTGCAGAACCTTTTTCTCTAGGTTCACATCATTTTATAGTCATTGACCCATTTTCACATTGCACAGACTCATTATTTGTGTCTTAATACCTTCAAAAAGAGTCATAGTAGGTTTGTCTGTACACATTCAAACACTGGACGGGAAAATGCCCACAGTAATGTAATACTTTCAAACATACATGGGTCTTGCTTTTAGCAAACTTGAGATAACAATGTTCTAATTAATCTAAGACAGATAAAGTAGGAAATAATTAGAACAGGAGCTTTCCCTTCATAAACAAAGATTCATGGCTGGTATTCTGTGTTTAAGATCTCTGCAAATTTTGTCACATTTAAAATTCTCAGTTAAAAGAGCAACTGATTTCAAAAGTTCAATCAATACACAGTTTTTTAGGAACACATTTATAACCTAGGGCAAAGAATGTTTATACCTATTTGTTTGGTGTCCTGTAGTCACACGCTTGCATGCATTTTCATTCTCCATCCAGATGTTTTTATATCTCGGAATTAAGTCCATAAGCCACTTCAGAGAGATAAAGTCTAATCTTCTTTAGAAAGACTTCCAGGGAAATAGAGTCCTTAATCTTCTTTGCTGATCTATTTCAGTGTTTACCAACTCTTATTTTCATATTTAACCTAAATCCTTCATGCTTTGGTTTGAGTTCATTTCTACCCATTGTCTTTAGTTGGAGACAGAAAGCCACAGGACGACAGCCTCTTGGAGAGGTCTTCATACTTGTGAAATTCCCTGCTAATCCCCTCTTGTCTTACTCTTCTTTCAACTGAATAATTCTGGTCCTACAACCCAGTAGTAAATCAAATAATTATGTGGCTGGAGTCACAGCTACAAACAGTATCAATCAGAAGAGTCACATGAAAAAATGCATGCCTCATGGACTCAAACAAAATGTGATGTTTTAGTACAGAATTTAGAGACAACTTGAACAGTCCATGAGAAAGGCACATTAAAAACTGCCATTTTGGTTTCATTGCCTTAACCTTTCCTCAAAGGTCAGGCATTATAGCCCTTTAATCAACTTTGTGGTTTTCCACCGAGCTCTCCAAGTTCCCCACACTTCTCATGAGTGGATTCCAGAACTGGAATGGGTATTCTTGTGAGAGCCTGATTGATGCTAAGAACAACAGCCTGATTGTTTTTGCTGACCACAGGTCTGTTTATAGAGCACTGGGGTTGTTTCTCCAGCAGACAGAACAAAGACAGTGGGGAACTGCTTTCCCACTGTCAGCTCATGACCTACAATAACACTTAGGATTTTTCAAGTTTTTATTATACTGTACTTGTCAGGCTTTTATCTATTTTGTGTCTATTTGTATGTTTTTTCTAGCTAGGTGTAATCCTGTAGTTTTTATTGAGTTTTAATTATTCTTCTAATTTTTAATATTTGTACTTATCCCAAGGGACCTAAATTCTGATTCTGCTCTCTAAGCTTAAGTTTCTTCTTCTTCTGCCCAATTTTGGAGAGCAATCTATATGTTCTTTACTACACTATCAATGTTTTTCAGAATATCAGCCTACATTGACACGGATTATCACTGGCAGACTATTTCCTGCTCAGAAATGGATTTTCTAACCATACTCCAGAAGTAAGGATAGTACCAGGAAGCATTGTACTTTGCAAGCCCTTGCTCTTCCACTAAGACACTCCTTAGAACGCTTTAAACACTTGCCTAATATTTATGGGGCAAAGACTATCGATCATTACGAGTCACAGTGTGTTTTGGATTATTATGAAACTCTAAGAACTTCTCTCTTCTTCTGACTTTCGTTTCCTGAAAACATACAACTGTAATGAAAGAAACACAAGAAGTTTTGTCCTATCTTCTGGTGAGAACTATGAGAAGTAGTTTCAAGAAAGATTGGCTCTGCAATTCTGCCACAAACCTTAGTGATCTGATGACGCATCATGAATAAGCAATGAAAAATTGTTATAAGGAGAATGTATAGTGTCAATTTCTGACTCTCGGTCAACTAAACCGAAAAGAATTAATGGGTGCATCTATCCGAACAGGATTTAATTTGACTGTGTAATTAGCTATAGATTACAGCTCAAAAAAGTGTGTGCACTTAAAAGGAATGCTTCTATTAATTTTTCTGAGCCTGGTGAACATTATGTACTACACAATATACAAAATAACATCATCTTTGCACATTAGAAATAAATTGTGAGGAATTAGATGCCTATTAACACAGAAAAGTTTATGTAAAACTAGGAATAATAGGCAAGATGTTTCTGAGAGGAATTAATGGGTTGTGACATATTTCCAGATAACTGAAATTAGCCACTATTTCCTCCATGTTGTTGGGGTCCAAGCCTCCTTGTTGCCATGGATAATATAAAAGAATATATTTTATTCTTTAACAATGTATAATCAGGTGGCTTGGTCTTACATAAGGATAAAAATCTGACCTAGAAATTATTATGAAACTGTCACATAGGCAAGTTTCTTTACTCCTACTAATGACTATACATCTGAGCCTTTATGCAGAATTCTGATTTAATGGCTCTTCCTGTCACTTTTTGTAAACCTTGAAGGCTTCCAAGCAGTGAATGATTTGAAAAGTAGGAATCCAGAAGTTATTGTGCTTTGTGACTTCAGTGAGGTGATGAGTCCTACGAATCAGTTTATGATGATGTTTGGACAAGTTAGCCTTGAGACAAATTTAAAAAATGTCAATCACTGTTGCCAGGATCGACTTTTGCACTTGACAACTGAAACATCTGGACTTAGCATCATATGTCATGCCTCTGCATTCTCCACGCCTAATTGGGGGCTGGTTAACTCATTTTATAGTGAGGGCCTTTCTTTACCCAGCAGGAGCAGTCAGAGCCACACTCTCTTTATTTAGGGCCTTTGATTTATTTCTGTCTTGGCCTCTCCCCATAAATCTCTGCATTTCAGAAGAACTGATTTTAACCTTGACTCCGGGTCTCTTTATCTCCATGCTTGAACTATTATGTCACCCACCTAAATTCTGACCATTCCCTTTTTGTCCTCTTGGTTCATCCTGTTGCCCCATTTCTCTCCTGTTTCTCCCACGGGAGAGCCTCCCCGTTCCCTGATTCGCCCGGGGAAGTACCTCTTGAGAGTTCCTGGGTCTCGGCTCTGAAGCTGCGTTGGTAGGCTGGGACTGGACAGGCATCGCCTTGTACGGGGCAATCCTGCTTACACGATCTGTAGAGAATGCAGAGCTCGGGTACGATGTACAGCAGCAGGAAAACCCAAGCATTGGTGACCAGGGCAATGCAGATGACAGCGTCATCCCACTGGGGCTGCCGCTGGAGCTGTGGGTTGCCTCTCATGAGCATGGAGATCCACACCACCCAGATAATGATGGAGATGAGCACGGTGACGAAGATGAACCTTCCATGCTGCTTCCAATTCTCACATGGGCCACAGAAAGTGGCTTTGGAGACAAAGAACGTGAGGGCCATCAGGAAGAGGACGTAGACCAGGAGTACAACAAAGTCCACATTGAGCTGATAGGGTGTCAAATGCACAAACTTCGTACCTCTGGTCATCATGAGAGTCACGTACTCAATGGCAATGATCGTCTGCAACAGGCTGACACCAATAGCAATGCACAGAATTGTCGTCCAAGAGAAGGAGACTCTACCCCGGACCAGCTTCACCAGGTTGGAGGCATGAGCCAAGAGGCATGAGAAACAGAGAGCAAAGAGAACCCCAAAGAGAAAGTAGCGTACAGGGGCAGTTTGCTGGTTGAGCTGGATGATGAAGGCAAAAGCAAGGCTAAAGAGCCCCAGCACACCCAGCAGGAAGAGGAACTGCGTGGGGAGGACGTTCCACTGGCTGCAGTCTTGAACCCTTCGCATGAGGAAGAGAAATGCCAAGAGTAACATAATTGTAACCACTATGCCAATTGCTGCCAGGGACTCTAGAACAATGCCCCATGCCCCCTCAGTGTCACAGAGGAGATAATAGTCCCCAGTGGACTCAATGCAGTCCTCATACATGGTAACTGTAAGTAGACCTCGTGAGAATGGTCTTCTGTTCTCCTGCAGAAAAAAGATGAGACAAACTTATGACTTTACCTCTACCCATGAGAACCCCTGTTGGGTAGTGCTATGCAGTCACTACAATGTCTCTCATTCCCAGATAAAGACATCAGGACATACTGAATGAAATCGCTCAAAACTATCAAACCCTCGAAACTATCTTAGCTCCATCCTGCTGGGAAAAGCAGAACAGTCTTCACTTGGGAACTCCAGACAATTCATCCATTTCCACATCATGATTTCCACCAAGGCTTTTTGAAGCCGAAGGCAGAATCTTTCTCATAAAATGGGGTGGGCGACAATGTTTGCATGATTGATGGGATTCCAGTTATATCAGGCTCCAGAACAAGGGTTGTCAACGTTAATGGATCATCTGATCATTCAAGGCACTGATGCGCTTCTTGAAGGAGACAGGCAGATGATTTTTCCTAGTAACTCCTAATGACTGTTCCTTCTTTGAATTCAAGTCAATCCAAGGCAACATGTTATTGTTTCAAGTACTTACTATTTGTTCATCAAAGAACTATACAAAATGGTCCCTGCCTTCAAATAACTTTTCAGACAGTTTAGCATCAAAACCTATGTCTTAACTGAGATTGTCTGGGAAAAAATTCTACATATTCATTTGGAGAAAAGTACCCTGTAATTGAATACCCCTAACTCCACTCCCCTTCACTTAGTCCCAAGCCAGGCTGCCGAGTGGTCCAGTTTATAGCTGAGAGAATGGCGCTTCATTCCGACTTACCTTCACTGTGTCCACGCTGCAGGCTGAGGCTGGAGTGGCTGCGAGGTTGTAACTGCCAGTGAGTAAGAAGGAGTCGACCTCAGCTTCTTTAATCACTCCCCAAATGGGCGGAAGGACTGGAGGCCCTTACTCAGATTCCTGCAGCGCCCATAAAAAGAACCGGAAGGTCAGAAAGACACACCTATTCCAGTTTCACAGCAACGTTTCTACAGAGATTTCTTTGGTGAGAATAATTATTTTTCGTTCTACTGCTAACCAGGAGCCCCTTGGCTTTGGGGAGATCCTGATGGGGGTGTGAGTTTAGGAAACACTGCTTCCTCTCCATACTCTAACGGGCTCAGAAAGCTGCGAGAGGTCTTTGTTGGCCTTACATGAGGACGCTTCACTCTTCTGATCTACTCCTTAAAAAGCCATCTCCAGAGTCTTCCTTACATCTTGATTTTGATCATAAGACCGAAAAGAGCATCCATTCAACAAAGGAGTAGGAGTTTTACTGGGCCGTAAAGAAGGGTTACGTGCATTAAAAAGGCCAGTGGTTGACAAAATTGTGAATTAAGGGAAATTTGTTTTCTCTACTCTACCACTCTCTTTTCCTCTCCTTTGGAAGTCCTCAGGCCTTGGCTGTCTCTACTTGGACCAGCTCTTGCTGGTATGGTGAAGGCTTTGGTATAATTTCCTTCTCTCTTTCCTCTCCTCACCCCATCAGAATGCTCTTGTTCTGAGTCTTATTCCACTGGGGCATTCCCAGGGCCCAAGACAGAAGAACTCACAATTAAAAATGACCAGCTGATGTTGGTATAACATATTCCTTTTCTCCTGTGGTGACATATAATTAAACACACAGTACAGTGTGCTGCCTATACTGATGACACCCTCCCCACCCCTTGCCCCCAATTTAGTCCTTGGCTCTTTTCCTGGATATTTACATTTTGACAGAGGACTTCTGAAGACCCCAAATCAGGACCCGTTAGCCTGTTTTGAGTTACTCTGTGATCTTACCTTTCTCATCCAACCACATTTCTTTCAGGTCCCCTGGCCCTGTGGTTTAGCCAGGTTGGTTTTCCCACTGCCCTACAAAAAACCGAGCTCCCATCTGCTCACCTTCTCTTGGGTGGCGTCCCTGACCTGAATTGCCTTTAGCTTTATTTCCATTGATTCTGTTTCCTACCGAAATACTTTCCCTCCAAGATCTAGCTCATCTCATCTCCTCTATGAGCTTTCCTGCCTTCCCTGATCTCTCTAGCCCTCATGGACCTCATGGACCACCTCCCACCATGAACCCTATAACACGCAAGGTCTGTGCTGTTCAAAATTGTGGACACCATATTTTCTGCCTATTTTATTTGCATTAATTTATTAACAAATATAATAATAAATAGTAAACATTACCTTATTTTATTTGTATTAGTCTTATCCCCTTGATTAGATTTATAGCTGCTTATGGGTCAGGTTCCACGTTTTATGCCCCTAGAGCACCTGGCCCTGAGGGGAGCACCTCATAGGTGATGGATGGATTGTGTAATTGAAGGATTCTAATAACAGCATCCCAGGCCTTGTGGAGGTATTTTTTAGCAGTATCGTTTTCCAACAGATGCTCTTTAATGGAAACCACCTGCCAATAAGTCAGGACCTTAACAAACCCCAGACAAATTTCATTCTAAAGTGGTATTTTATCTTTAGAGATGCCTCGACTTTAAAATGCTATTTTTTTCCTTGAGAGAAGGATATTGTATGGAAGGGAGTCCTCCTCTCTACTTGCCTTAGGCATAATTGTGGTCTGAAGCTGTTGAAGCTAAGGGGAGAGGGACTTTCCAGATGATGAAATGTGACATGCGTGAGAATTCGCTCAAAGAGCCTAGCGAGTGGTGAAATTGCTTCAGGAGAACAACAAGGGATTTCCCACTTAATTCTTCCCAGAGGACTGTTTTGGTGACCCCTTCCCTCCTCCCACCCCCTTCCAGCTGGTTAGTCACGGTCCTTCCTCACTGTTGTGAAATGTTGGTTTCTGGAATGCTAATCTTCTGAGGAGATTCCTCCTGACCTCCTGGTGGCTTGGGGCAGGTGAATTAATGGGTTAATGGCCACAAAGCCCTTTGAGCACCTTAGATAAAAGAACTTGTCTCAGCTACTAATTATTGTTATTTTAAAATCTAGGGTTATAGAATTAACCCATCTCCTGCTAGGCCGTAAGGGACCGAGGGCCCTCTTTGCCTACACACATCCACATTACTCACACCTCATTTCTTTCAGCTTTTATGTGGCAACATCGCACCAAACAGCTCAGATACGGCTTTGATGAATCAAAGTGCATTGATTACAATGAGGCCAATAAACATGGAGATAAAACAGAGAAGAGGCCCAACGCCTTTTGCCAAGCGCTTCTCTGCATTGTTTCCTGCTCGCAGAAACAGAGCTGGAGGGAATGTTGGGGGAGACCTGGTCTAACCCTTTCATTAGTAATTAATAATAAGGAAGCCAGCATTATCACACGAGGAATTAATAACAAAGAAGCGGAGGCCCAGAGAGGTGAGAGGGTGTACCCAGGGGATGGAATGTTAGAGGAGACTGCCAGGCCATCTGACTCCTGGCCATTCTTGCTGCCATCCATACAGGCTGCCTTGCCTGACACCTCCCACCTCGGGAGGACAGGCCTGAAAGAGACAAGCCCGAAAACATGACACGTGGGTCATAACCAGACGGAAAGAAAAAGGATAGATTACGAGAGTGCATTAGATATTCTTCAAGCTGCAACCAATCCTGCAGCTGTCCTGCCCGGCCGTGTGAGGCCCGGCCGTGTAAGAGGGGGTGCACTGGCCACGAATGGACCATCTGCTCTTTTTGCTCCCTGGCATCTCCAGCTCTGGTTTCATGGGGTGCAACCAGTGCAGTTGTTCAGGGTCCCCCACTCAGAAGGGTCCTGTGCTTGGAGTTTAATGCTTTGTGGTCACCATCTCAAAATTCTTAATAACTTTATCTTTGAATGTGTGTCTTGTAAGTGAAGTCAGATGGGACAAAGGAGCACGCAGTGGGGGCTTGGAGCCTCGGCTCAGGTGCCATCCCACCCCTCACTGCCTTCCTGTCTCCCTGAGACAGGTTCTTGGCCACCCATTTCATGCCACTCCTTGGTGCCCTGGGTCATCTGGCTTCCCCATTTTTCCTCTTGCCACGTGACTGCTGCCACACTCCACCTGGGGTCACCTGTCCACCATGCATTGGGGCAGTAGGCCTTTGGAAAGCGGAGATTGACTTACCCATGTCCAGGCAGGTACCACATTTTCCTTTGCACTGGGTCCTGCCAACTGTGTAGCTGGCCCTGGGCATCTCATTCAATTTGCTGGTCGTGATGGTTAATTTGATCAACATTCTATCAGAATGCTAACATCGTACAATTTAACTGTGTAGTAATATAATGTACAGTTAGTCGTGAAGAACTGCAGTGTTTTTCTGGGTTGGCAAGTTGTCAAGACCCTCAACTGAGTGTTATTTATGAACGTTCAGGGTATTTTTTGGAAAGTAAGTTATCTGACATTTTTTTCCAGTTTGTGACCATTTTAATTGAACTAGTATATATTGCTCTTATGTTGGGTTGCTTTATTATTATTAGAAGAGAGCAGATGATGTGAAAAATATAGAGGTATGTTCTAGGTCAGCTGCTGGATGTGGAAGTGTAAATACAATAACATTGAGAAAAATGTTGACTAATGGAAATTTTGATTTTATTTGAGCTGCATTAGAGGAAGGAAAAAGTAGATGCAGGACTTTATAATGAAATTATTTAAATGTGATTTAATAAAATATGCAAAGCTTAATAAAAATGACAGACTCAATGTATAATTTATAATAAAATTTTTACAAGTGAAAACTTAAAATCTTCAAAATTAAAAACCCACCTGGGAAAACAACATGATATCCTGTCACTGAATCTCTCAGATGTTTCTGAGGAAAAATAGATAAATTTATCAATAATTTCTAAGTTGTCAACTACTACTATTAATGAAAGAGCCTTACAAGTACCTATTTAGTCATATATTAGGTGGCAAAAAAGAAAATGGGTCACGTAGCCACTAAAAATTATTTTTTCAGGATGTATGGAATGGTACAGATTGTTTTTTGATGATACATATTATTTAAAATGATAAATCAGCTAACAAATTTAAAATTATGCCTCTTAGTCTACCGTAATAGCTCATCAAATCTGTACTGTCCCGGAACATAGAGAAGCAATGTTTTCACACAATTATAGTCTGGGATAGGTTTTGTGATTCAGCTTGATAAAAGCACTGATACTGTAAGTTGCCAACACTTTTAGTTAGATCAGATATGAGTGACAAGACAATGTTTATAGAGGATTTTTTGTGTTGTTTAAATTTAATTTCACTTATGACTGGATTAAATGTAATCTCTGAGTTGGAGATTCAACAGAGCTGAACTTTGTCGGAGACTGTTGTCTCCAACTCTGAGTTGTTGATTATTGATTCAATATTATTTCAACTGGAAAAATTGTAAAGGAATTACAAGCTTGAATGACAAATATGACCAGAAAATATGGCAGAGTTATTGACAATTGTTAAAAATGATTAAAAACCATGGTTTATTTATCATGACGCTTTGGCAGCTAAAGAAATTTTTCTTGAACCTCATGGATTTATTGAAACCAAATGAGGTGCCATTGAGCAAAACATTTAGAAATATTTTGTTCCAAGGTTGAAGTTGACCATATCCACTTACTAAACATGATGGCATTTCTGGTTACCATAAGGTAAAATACTAAGCTAAGCACGATACATAAATTCAGAAATAAGATTTAGATTTCTTGAATTGAAAAACAATCTCATTTAGCAAATATTTTTGGACATGATATTTGGATAGTAAAAGTACCTATTTCACTGATTTTTCGGCATTCCTAACTATAATTTTGGGAGAAAATTATGATATATACATATAGATATATATGTTTTTTTTTTTTGGTGAAGAAGATTGGCCCTCAACTAACATCTGTTGCCCAACTTCCTCTTTTTGCATGAGGTAGATTGTTGCTGAGCTAACATCTGTGCCCATCTTCTATTTTATATGTAGGCTCCTGCCACAGCATGGCTTGATGGGTGGTGTATATTGTTGCTGAGCTAAC